CCCCCCCCCCCCAACCACGCGCTGTAGAGCCATTGCCATGGTATGTCGAAACGCCACGAACACGACACACCCGCTCACCAGAAACCACAACCACTTGGCCAAAGCTGTGCATGCATGGATGTACCTGTTGCATGTTGATCCACGCGGTCAGACGTTGAGAACTTGCTAATTCTTGGGGTTGGCGTGGCCTCCTTGTTATACTGTCATACTGTCATACTGTCATACTGTCGATTTCTCACGTGGTGCTGTAATGATTGACACATCCAAGCATCCAAGAGCATCTGCCTCAAACTGGATGCGAACCGAACCAACCGATTTCGGCGCCGCCCTACACCGCCTCGCCTTCTGGAAATACTCATGATAGTTTCCGATGCCCTTCCTTCCTTCCTCAACTAGTCCTGGTGTCTAAATGATTTCCCTTCCGTGAGGAGTGCTTCTTTGCTTTTCCATTTGCACGGGACGCCAATCTCACTGACCGCTGGCGAAGTTTCCTTCCATGACCATTTGCTGAGAACCCATTACGTCTATTTTTTGGGTCCTTTTGCGGTTCCAGGTTTACCACAAGCGACGAGAGCAGTCCGTCGATGACATGTCGCAAACCGTCGATGGCGCGGACAACCACTTCGAGCTGGATTTCGAGGTTCGGGCAACTTTTGACCGAGAGATGACACAACTCACGGCCGCGGGGCTGCGCGTACAGCGGCTAGTTTGCTCACCGACAATGCAGCCTGAGATGAGAGTGCAGCTTGAATCTCGCATCCTCGGAGACATGATCATTTTATGATCATGTTGTCGTTGGTGCGAGGTCTATAAAATTCTTGCATGTTGCAATAGTTGTGTGCACGTTTGTACAAATGGTATCGGCTCTGTAGATAAAAAGCATATTATGCTTTAGATTGGGTTGCGTTCGTGTAGCTTACGTTTATTTTCTCGTTAGTTTTCTTTTAGCCCCTTCATTTACGTATCCTTTGCTGTGCACTCAAGTCGAATGGTCTTTCCGAGGGCGTCATCGTTTTTTTATTGGCAAGTCCAGCACCCTTCCCAGGCTTCCGGCCAATCTGGCCGCACCGAGTATTGTGACTAAAGGTCCGGGGATTCGCAGTTCTTGGTTTCATTTGTGGAGGTTTTGGTTAGTGCGTGAGGAAGGGGGAGCGACATGCATCGTTGAGACCACGATGGACCGAACCATGGATGGATGGTTCGGATGTGTTCCAACACGCCCGACAACGTACAGTGGTAAGGTTGCCGTCAACTATTCTAGTGGTTTCACCCCCCGTACAGAACTTATAGTTTCTCCACGCTTGCGCGTACGTGTCGTCTCTCTTGTTCTGAACTTTTTCGTGATCTGTCCCGTCGCGGGCGATCAGCATGGGAATCATGCCTGTTCTTGAGTTGAGCACGACGCCACGGTTGGTGCCGTATTCGTTGCTCGTGGACAGGTATCTAGCAGATGAGGACGTGTTTCTTTGTGTGGTCCTGTCCGAGCCACAGGTAGACTGAAATAATTACTTCGTTAAGACTTTTTACATCGCGCGGGAAGTGGAAGCACGTCTTGGACACATGAGAAAACCACGTTCCATGCACAAAGACAAGCTCCTTCCAGTCGTCAACAGAGGAAGAGGAAACAAGGCGGCCTAGAACAACAGCGCTATCGCCACGTGGAAGAGCATCGCGGCTCGAAATACAGCAGGTTTGCCATGAGCATCAAATGGTCGGACGGGAATATCTCGTTGGGGACGCGGTGTTTGACTCTCAACGGGTTTTCCCTCAAGTACGGTGACCATTCTCCCATGTATCCTTCTTCTCCGCACTCCCCTTGCCATTCGCTCGGTGCCCAAAGACCGGGAACCGGAGACAAGTCGGTCTGCTGGATGTCTCGTCCCACCAGACTCCCCATCTCCGGGATGGACAGCACTTGCGTTGGCAGCAGACAATCCGCGCTGAAAAATATGTAGTCGACCGTGCCTACCATGGTATCGGAAAGCATGGTGAAGGCCGGCTCCCCACCGGAGCTGTGCGTCATGTAGGCGCTCCGCAGGCCGAGCGCGTGCTTCTGACGCTCGCTTCGTGCCCCGCTCACGTCCAGAGATTCGAGTCGGAGGAGAATGTTTTCCTCTCTCGGGAAAGAACCACATGCTTTCGGTGGCAGCGAAGACTTTGTAGGCCTTGTCACACTCTCCCCAGCGCCTGCGCCACTGGTGTCCGACCGGCCCTCCCCACTCCCATTCCTAAAGCCCCCCGTTGTTGTGGATGCACTGGCACCGTCTAGACTACATGTACACAAGTCGTCATCCAGTGGTCCCTTCGTGGAGCTGCTCGTGACTTGCTCGTCGTTGGAACGTGTTTGGTGGCTACCCGCTGTTGCTGTTTTTTTCGCCTTGCGCTGTCTTCGCCGCGTCGTGGTAGAGCTAGTAGCGCCCGATGACATTCGCCTCTCCTCGATGGCCTTGATTACCGGGAAGCCGGTGTCGGTGCGAACGTTGGCCAAGTCTGGGTGGAGCGAGGCATCGGTGTACCGCGGCGTTACCCCTGAGACCGAGCCGAAAGGGTGAATTTTCTCCATGCCTAAGTCTAGCAACCCTTCGACCTTGACCAGCTTCCGCAGCTCGTATGCGCGTGGGTTGGCCAGCCTCTCCTCAGCCCTACGGCGGGCGTCTTCGAGCTCTCGTTTCCGGAGCAGCTTGATCGAGGCGGCCCCAAGAAGCACCCTATCCACCGGGTCGTTTCCAGCCATCTGTGGCATGCGGACAGGCTCCGATCGCTCGCTCCAAGGCCCCTGACCCAGACTATTGATGGCGGATACCCTGAACTCGTACGCCACGCCTGAGCTTAGGCCAGAGACGACGAACGCCCTGAGAGGGTTCTGCTCGGACCTTACGCGGCCGCTTTCCGCCTTGACGAGGTCGTACTCCACGCACCCGGCCTCGTGCGCATCCACGGTCTCCCCTGGCAGGAACCTGCTGCCCCCGGGGACCCACAGTAGCCTGTACGTGTCGATGGCAGGGCTGAGTGACTCGCTGTAATCTGACGGGGCGGACCATCGGACCCTTGCCGCGCTCGTAGAAATTGGCTCGACGAGAGGCTTCCCTGGAGGTCCTGGCCGGGCGGGATCTTGGGCTTCTATTCCTCGACACAGGATCTCGTACGTGCCACTGCTAGGTACACAGTTCATTGTTCCACACATGACGATTGGGAGAGAAAAGTCGGAGTTGAAGGCTTCGACGGAGCGCGTAAGACCTCGCGCCTGGAGCCCGCGAATTGCGTCGCCAATATACCCCTCCTCCTCGCTGAGTTGAGTGCACACGATGCAAGCTCCAGAAGGATGGTCGGAGTCTTGCCACGGCCGGAGAAGCGTCATGAGCGCGACGTTGTCACTCGTTGCAGCTTTTCCCGCCAGCGAACGGTTCTCCTCGTGTTCTCCAAGTCTGAATGATCACCAATGGTCGGTGAAAACGAAGATTAAGGCCGTGCGCAACATTATTGTTGTGTACATGTCGATGTCACTGAAAGTTTTCGTTGTCTTGACGGTGGTATGTAAAAGGAAACGTAGTAAGGAAAATGAGGAGTAGTATGGAAAACGAAAACAAACGAATAATAAATAAACAGACGCTGGTTGCTTTGTACGTACGATCAAGGTACCAAGTGCTTCAAGAGAGTGTACTGGTCGCCCCGGTGGTCTAGTGGCATCCTCGCAATCCGCTAGTCGCAGAGGTCGTGAGTTCGAATCCCCATGGGGTGAAAAATTTACGACATGTGCGGGTGAAAGCGAAATATAGCTAAAAAGCTCTCGTGAGCACCAAACTTCGACGTTAGCACCGTTGACGAGGGGAAGGGACGGCTGGACCCTTCTCGCGATAAAAACAGAATTCAGCACGCACCGCAGGAGGAAGGTGGGGCATGAAAAGAAATAAAAAGAAGAAAAGAAGCCCTAGTGTTTACCCCCTCCTGTGTGACCCTGGGTGGTTGTAGTTGTAAGAAAAAAATACACTGAAAAGTGTAGTACTCTACATACGCTGAACAGTGTAGTACACGTCTCACGACGAAAAATGGGGGGACTGTCGCCATAATAAATTGGACGAAAACACACACAACACTGCTGTACCTGTTGAGCTCCATCTCCCCGCTTCGAAAGAGATCAAACACATCGCGCTTCCACGCAATTACGACACCTTCTCGGTGCATCGCCGCTCGACTGGTCCTTTGCTTAAACAGACTGTCGTACCCGGCACTGGTCAACTGTGGACTCCACCATTGGTGGAAGCAGTCAACGTCTTGGAGGCATAGCACATCCGCACTGTAAACCAGAGTGTGGCGTGCGAGTGGAAGGTAGCGGACAGACAACGTGTGAGGCCAGAGTAGCGGGAAGCATGCCCACAGCGCGCACGTTATGTGCACTATGTAACACAGAATTTCTGCAAAATAGAAATCAAGTAATCAAATGGCGAACCTCACCGAACGCTGAAGATCTCCTTGAGCAGAACCTCTCGCCGGCGACCCCAACTGGTCACGGCCGGGGCGCAGTTCCTAACCCGAACGCTGTTGGAGTCCGCGAGAACGTTATACGACACGACCGACAATGTTTGTTTTCGCCCAAATTTTATGTCTGAGCGATGATCTACTGCGGGGATGTCTGGGTGGTGCGGCTGTACGGAGACCAATGTCCTGGCTCCCCATGGCTCACTTTCCCGAGTGAACGGAGTGTCGTACGTCCGGTCCGCTCTCGCCTTGGCCGTAACTTGCCGCGGCTCAGCCATACGCCTCTATTCTCCTCTGCGTCATCAGATGCCAAGCCCGATTTGGAGACAACTATACATCGCTTGTGTGGACTTGTAGTCGTCGAGAGGGTGTCGAAACTATGTGCGTACGCAGCTGTACTTGTACAGCAGCAGTAGACGCAGTCAGCCGTTGCATTGCAGGCGTGCATGTTCTATGTTTTATACTTGTATTTGTGCGGTGCAACGCCTGCCGGTTCACATAAAAACGACAGTCCTGGGCGCGGTCGCACCGCCTCAGCGAGTAACTGCTTGTAACCCTGCAGCGCCACAGCACAAAGATGTATGTGCATGTAGTCTACATGACTTTACTGACCATCACAAACAGAAAGCTCGTGCGGCCGGTGTAGGACTACATTGCTGACGGTGGTTGTCCTGAAGGGAAAAAAAGAAGCCGCGCCAGCAAGATCCATCGTGCCTACGCAAACTATCGGTGGCGGTACGTTCACGAATACATGCTGGCGGCGCTGCCATGTAGACTACCACACTCTCCTCAACCATGACATCAGACAGGTGACAGAGTGACGCAAGAGCATCTGGCCCAAAATCGGCGACACAGAAGAAAGAAATGAGGCCTGCATCCGCTGGAAGCGCGATGGGTCAGCAAAAATCAAGGCTTCAGATAAAAGTTGGTATCTGCGGCTTGTGTCGGCGAACAGAGCCGCGTGATGCCGACATTCATATGCAAGGTTTCCTGGAGGACGGCACCGTTCCTGTTCTGTCGTTCAAAGCTAGTCCTCAAAAAGTGCAAGCGTCTTTGATAAAACCGCTGCAAGCGGTGCGGACAGACTTAATGGACGTTGCCACGGGTATCCTGGACCGAGTCGTCCGTCAGTGGGGTTTCATGGAGGAACTGGTCGAACAGACCAGAGGAGAGAAAATAAGCCGGCGTCAAGCGGAGGAGTTCTTCGAGGAATATCTTATCAACCACAACGTACCCGGCAAGCTCCAGATTCGCTGGGTAGATAAGCTCAATAGTGGAGGGAAGCTTCAGGAGCAAGGGCGGCGAAATAAACCAACTGCGCGAAAACTGACGCTATGGATCAGCAGCAGCTTCGCCGGGGTGCAGTACTCCAGGAGCATGACTGCATTCGCCGACCATGAGATCTGCACCCACGCCGTTCGCGCCATCAATGATCATGCGCAGGTACCAGAGGCGTTGCTATAGCTAGGTGCGCGCCCTACAATCAATCGATTAAAGGCACGTTTGTCCGGCATATGTAATTCTTGTTGTTCCCCGGGTGTTAATGAAGCTTGGTCGTCCTGTGACGATGTGTCGTGGCATGACCCTGTTTCACCACCCTAACCTCCCGACCTCCGACCGTACAGGTATGGGTGAACCATCGTGGGAGGTATGGCCTCTGCGCCGGAAGCCGGGAGCGTCTGGGCACAGAAGAAGGGTTGGCTTCCCTCAACTCTTTGATATGCTACCCGAGTCAGACGCGATATCTATGGAGTGCTGCCATGCTCTATTACTGTGCCGTCAAGGGTGAGGGCATGGGTTTCGGCGAGCTGCACAAGCATTTAATCAAATATGTACGGTGTCCTGCAAAGCGGTACTGGTGAGTAGTTAAAGCGTGGAACTTAGCCCGCGTTCTAACCAACGTGTTACGCACCCTCGTAACCCAACGCCCTTGTCCCAAGTACGTGGCTTCGGTAACGACACCGCAGGTTGGTTGGGTGGTACCCCTACTACTACTACTACTACTACTGTTGTTGTTTGCTTCCGAATTGCACCAGGGGTTGAACGGGTTGCACCCCTACTACGGCCGAATTGCATGTCGGCGGGGTGGTTGATTCGATCAAAATTTCACCAAGATGGTGGGCAAGGTGGTTTCTTGGGCGCTGGAAAAAATGATTTTCTTTCAAGATGCGCAAACAAATGCGTTGTGCACTCGCGTTCAGCCGTCTCACCCAAGCAACTCAATCTGTCTTGTGTACATATAGAGTATGGGCTTGATGCATTTTGTTGCCACTGCCCGCACCCCGGACCCAGGTACTGCATCAGAACCAAGGGGAAGAGGGCTAATCTTCACCAACCGGGTTCCTGCGGCAAAGGGCAGGTGTACTTGGAAGGGGCAGTGAACATTCTTCGAGAGATAGACCGCATAGACTTCCACCTTCTCTACTCCGGGCGGGTAAGACTCGAGACAAGAACCACCCACACATCGGGTCTGAACAAGCCGATACTCCAAAAATATTCCACCTACAGGGGTAGTCACAAAACACGCAGAAGATGTGAATGAGTAACTAGAAATGTCGTACTGGTTTCAACTTACAACCGTAGGGTTCTCACTACGCGAGGAAATGTAGCGTTGAATGCGGTAGATTGAGGGTGGGCTGGGGGAGACTCGAGGGGTTGCGTGCCTAAAGCGCCTATTTCACATGTATGTGGGGTATAAGACCCCCATTGTTAACAGATGCCCGAAAAACATCAAGGCCGCATGCCTGCATACGATGTAATGCGAGAATTGATCAACGGCATCAAATCTTCCTTAATTTGATTACGTCGTCCCCAGGTACCATTGAGTAAGCTGGATCGAGTGAAGAACATTGCTCGGTCCTCCTTAGTGACCCTACCAGGGTTCGTGAAAGACCAGGCCAAGTACAAGGGTATTTTGAGACAAATCGGCGTGCTGAATGGCATCATCTCTGAGGGTTCGCACCCGGGTGTGGGGCCGAAGCAAAGTATAGCGACACAGGCCAAGAAGAACCTATCTCCAAACAAACGGTCCTCGATGAAAACGAAAGTATCCACGAAGAAGAATGCGGCACCTAGTCGCCGCCCAAAGCACGCGCTGACAAACTCGCCGAAGGATGGAAAACAACACCCGCAGCAAGCGGAAACTTCATCAACGTCTCCTCAGTCCGCTGGCGACGTTGCCGGGGGGGAATTGATGGAATTCCCTGCGAAGATATTACCGGTGGCACGCCATCATCCTGCGTCACCAGAAAAGTCCAGTGTTGGATGCAAGGGGAAGAGCCCGCTTGTTAGTACTCAGTACGCTCCTGGTCGCTCATCTAGCGTAGAGGGAGTCGGAGACAAGGAAGAAAGCACCTCATCCGCTCCACGGAGGGAGGCGAGCGGCGCATCGGTTGGGAGCGACGAGCGCGGTGACAAACAGGTGCCAGTGCGGTTGGGAGCACAGCGAGAAGAACACCACCGGGTTGGCTGGGGGCGTGGTAGCAAGACCGAGCCGGCTAGGCCTCGCACCCTCCCACCATCTAGGGATTGCCGTCGGCTACGCCTACTTGACCATTCTTTGAGCGCCAGCATATCCCGTAAGAAGAGTGTTGGCGGTGTTGGTCGCACCACACCATGCGATTTTCTGTCTTCGTCTCCTATCCGCAAATTGAGTTGCGGAAATCGCCCCCATAGTGCCGTAGATTTGACAGTGTACGGGAGATGACGTGTTGTTGGTGGAGGAAATTTGGGGATCGGAATGCAAAGCTGGCCGCTCTGCAACGAGGGTGGTGACTATCGCCTCAGCAGCAGCAGTGGCGAAAGAAAAATTGATGACGAACTCGTCATCGCGCAGCCGAACCCTCTCCGCTCCAGTATTCTCCCTCGCCTGTGAAAAAATAATAGAATCCCAGGATCCGAGACGAGTAGTTGTACACACATTGATTGAACGTTCAGATCACATTGGTTTGTACTTGGCTGCGCGTCACGATTTTGTCTGGTCCTGTAAGACAGCTGTTGGCGTGTGACAGCGCTCGTACTGAGGAATAGACGTCAAGACGGTGTCGAATACCACTCATTTGCACGTGGTGGACGCGCATACTCCTGCCTCGAGTACGCGAATGGCGATACATGCTGAAAGCGGCTGACTTGTCTCTGCACGACATGCGTCTGCCACCAACAGCTTCGGACTGTAGGAATAAGAATGGCTACGGGACTTGGCTGACCACAGTATCGCGCCTGGTGTGTGCTGGAAAGTCACGATTATTTTTCTTCAGGCACCGGGGACTTTGACCCAAACGTTGCACGACTTCGTCAAGCATGCCTGCAGATTCGCAGAAAGGAACACGGGCACCCACGTCCTCAGACACGCAGCACTGCCGTTGGAGCAAGCACCGCGTACAAGCAAGCATTGCATCGTAGCAGCCGTGAGAGAAACCAACACGTGGTGCAACACCCAAGCATTTTGATTATCTGCCATTTAGACTAAGTTTGCAATGCTTACCCTCCTCATGATTTTTCACAAGTGACGCGCAAAGTGACGCAGACGAAACGCGACCCCCGAAGCTCCACGCCGCTAAAAAAAAACGCAATATTCTGGACAAGAGCAATCGACGACGCTTGTCCAGCGTGCGCGTGCACGTTTGTCACTGCATCGAACAAAACCTCAAGGTACGATGACATCGCATACCGGGCTATATATATGTACGCGTCGGCGTGCACCTGCCATTCCTTCATGGACAGTATTACTAGCAATCCGCAACGAAGACCATCGATGTCCAAGTCAAGTCAGTTCTGTCTTAGTCAAGCGCCACCGGTAAAGACGAGAGGCGGCGAGCTTCGCATAAGACTAGACTGCCCCCCTTGCGGGCTGGGTGCGGTGTCCGCAGCTCGCGGTCAAAACTAAATCCGGGCAGTTCTCCCCCCTCCCCCGGCGGCATCCTCCAGCTCCCCATTCCCGCTGCGTCCCGCAGCCTGCCTACAAAAATTTGCGGCTGGTTTGGTTTAGCCCATCCACTACTTTGCGGCAGGGTGGGAAATGATGTACGCCACTGCGTCGGCAATGCCCGCGATCTTGTCCGCCTCCGAGTCTGGGATCTCAATCGTGAACTCGTCCTCGATAGCCATCACCACCTCTACGGCATCCAGAGAGTCCAGAGCGAGATCGTCCTTGAACAGCGCGTTCTCCGACACCTTCGTTGGGTCCACCTGTGTGGAAAAAGGAAAAGGAAACCGTCAACACAGGACACAGCCACGGGATGGTGGAGGAGGGCGGGTGGGTGCACACGTCAATTTTACC